GTTCGTGCCGGTTCTGTCGCGAAACTTCGACAGGTCATAACTTCTTCGTTATAACTCGGATTTCGACATTCTTTATATGTACGGAAACCTTGTAACATATACTATAACTTAGTTAAGATTATTCATTCTAAATAATCTTCATAAAAATTCATTTTTGACGCTATCGTCTCTAAATTGACTAGCCCAATCTACGGGCGTTACAATTATCTCCCCCTTAGGATGATTACGTCCCGGAATCATCAACAAAATAGTATTCGTATACTGACTCCATAAGTTATCTCTCCATCCTAAGTAATAACCTTGATGCTCAATCATGCATCTACTCTTCGTACTATGTTGGACTTTCAATCGAAATCTTAAAGTTACAAAAATAAATCCTTATTGTGGACTCCTTCTTCTTCTTAGGGTAAATACATTCATTTATCTATTTTAACTAACCGATGGGTCGAGTCCCGATGACCTCTCATCGTAGTCGGACTCAATTTAATATGACCACTAGGGTCGGAATAACCATCATCCCACTAGCCATTACCGAAACAAGGGTAATGACAAACTTGAATAAAACGAAATCAATTACTAGCTTCTTGGTAACCTTGCGACTTTTCCTGATCCAAGTGCGAGTCCTGTGCTTCCGGTAGTATAGATCTCTACTACCATTCACACCTACTCATACTCGTCCCAAGTATTGTCTCGCAGTTAACCAAGTCACCATACATAAATCATATAATCATTCAACACACCAGATAACAAAACCAGGGTTTATATTAATTCTTGAAACTATTACACAAAAGTTCAAGTTCACCCTATACTATGCCTCTAATAGGCTACATCATAAGTTACTATTCACACTGTTACTTCATAACTTGATCGTTGGATATAAAATCCTCATCCTTGATTCGCTTCGTCGAGGATCATGTGGAATGCCCTTGGTTGTGGCAGTACATTTTTCTTTGAAGCTTTGTCCTTCTTTGGGCAGTTCTTCGAAATATGACCACCATCTCCACATTCGTAACACTTCCTATTGTCGAACGTACAATCTCTGGAATAGTGACCGATCCTACCACACTTATAGCAGGTCACTTCTCCATCGCATCTTCCGAAGTGCTTCTTCTTGCACTTTTCACACCACTTGGTTTCATCTTTTCCTCCGGATTTCGAGAGTTTGGTTTCTTTGTCGATCATTGAAGATCCCTCGTGTTTCCTTTTCCCTCCAACTTCAACTCTCTCTAGACCCTTTTCCCTTATTTGGGTCTCAACATTCTTGGCTGCCCAGATGGCGGCTTTCAGAGTGGTTGCTTGCTTGACTATCGGACCAAAGTCCGCTGGTAATCCATTGGCAAACTTGTTGACCTTGGAAAGTTCAGTTGGAATTAGGTATGGAATAAGCTTCATCTTCTCCGTAAAGCTTGTAGCGTATTCAGTGACGCTCAATTTTCCCTTTTTAAATTCTGGAACTCATTGTTGATTTCCAGAAGATCCTGCTCAGAGCAGTATTGCATTTTCATTTGCTCCACGAACTCTTCCCAAGACATCTTGCTAGCTTCCCCCTTGGGCATTGAACCAGCCAGTAACTTCCACCAGCTCAGTACTCCAGATTTTAACAGAGGGATTGCAAGAGCGGTCTTCTGTCTGTTGCTACACTCGCAACTTTCAAACATTGTCTCCATCTCGGAGATCCAGTCCATGACTTGCACCGGTGTCGGGCTCCCAGAAAGACATGGTGGTTTGGATGCCATGAAATCCTTGTACTTGCATCCACGTCCATCATTGTCTCCATCCTGATTGTTTCGGCGAACTATTGGTGGGTTGGCTTGACCAATGGTCCCACTATAGTTCCCTTCTTCCGACTGCCCCTCATTCAGCTCAGGTTGTTCAACTGGTATTGAGGGTTCACTCCTGTTGTTCAGCAACAATTGTCTCATTTCCTCCTTTTGTTCAGCCATCATGGCTTGAATCATGGTTCGCACTCCAGCCATTGTAATTTGTTCAGGTGTTGCTGCTACAACAGCCACTCGCTCAACCACAGGTGGTTGATTCCTATTTTCGTTCACGTTTCCAGCTCCACTCCTGGTTCTTGTCATTTTTGATCTATACACCGAATAAGGTGAAATTAGATCCTTATTCACGATAGATATTCAAATCATCCTTATCACTCCGAAACGTTTACATGCTAGTTCTAATATCGTAGACGTACGCTTAGAATCCTACACACATAAGGTTTCAAGATCCGGTCGGCAACAGACCATAGATCCGAACAAATAATATCATATATGGCAACATATAACATTTAGCACATAAAAGCATTTTAGGCATCACTCCTAAAATAAACTAGTGCTTGTGTCAATTTAGGTGTACTACCTAACATATTTTAGACACACTCCTCACAATCATTACTTAGCATTCTAAGTTTAAGTCTAGAAATTTCCTACAATTTCCTAGTTCGCTTAAACTAATGCTCTGATACCAACTGTGACATCCCCATTTTCACGGCCAGAAAAGACCGATTTGTTTATGCTTTGTTTTATAAAATCAGAGTAATCTTTTAAAGAAAACGGTTGCGGAATTTGTTCCCAAAACAAGATATGATAATAACTTATCAAAACATTTCTCAAAGAGAATGTATTTTCATTTAATAATAAAACCTCGGGATGTCATGTTCCGATACAGACATATAAGCATAAACAGAACTTACATTCAATTACACTAATGATTTACATCTCCTTTAATCTCTCAGTGCAAAGCAGCTTCGTATCGATACCTGTGATACAATTAAACTGAGTGGGTCAGGCTTGGGAGCCTGGTGAGCATATAGGGTTTTCAACCCACAATAATATAATTATTATATTCAATCATCAAACAATCAACCCAATTACCCATCCCCGTTATCTCCATTTATTTCTTAAGTACCTTCCCTAAGGAATTATCCTAAGGGTCATCTCCTACATCATATTTACCTCTCATCTCCTTACATCACATTTCCTTGTATGTTTGTTCCTAAGGATTTTTCCTAAGGATCATCGCATGAATACGTAGTCACAACATCGCCTGGACTAGTAAGTCATAATAAGGGTTAGACTATCATTGCATGAATACATAGCCACAACATCGCCTGGACTCGTAATTCATCACCTACAGGTTATGAGCCTGCTGGTGTTTCCACGGGGTCATCTAGAATAGTCCGTGGTCGCCATCTATACTCTGGTAGATGACTACATCGCCAAATTTCCACATCGCCGGTCAAGGTTATGGTATCTCCTCTCATCTCACATCACCTATTTATCATTACCTAATTATCATCACCTTTCTATCATCACCTATTTCTCATCACCTAATCATCATCACCTGTTTCTCATCACCTAATTATCATCACCATTATATCCTCACCTTTCTCTTATCACATTCGTTCAACACACATCAACTATTTCATCTACCCATGTTCTACCCAACATATTTGTAGATATAAATTACATATATAGTTTAAATCATTTAACACCCATATAAAAACATCAATTCCAAGCCCATCTCATATAGACAATTAATATATACACATAGCACGTATTTCATAGCTAATGCTTTATATTTATGTGTTTAGAAGAGAGTAACCGCACACTCATACATATAAACAACAATATATATATATATATATATATATATACACACACATAACACGTATTTCGTATAAAATACTTCATAATTATGCGTTAGAAGAAAGTAACTACACACTCACTTGATCAGAAGATGATCGGACAACACTACGGCTTGTAGAAGTAGTATTCTTCGGTAGATCTGGAAGATCTTCACAAAAACCGGACTCCTCGCGGGCAGAGCTTCGGCTCGGGAATTGCACTTCTCGGGATCTTCGGGGCCTCGGGACTTGCTTCGGGGCTCGGGAATGATACCGGGGCTTCGGGATATTTCTTGCACGAAAAACGATGCAAAAACGCGAGAAAACGGGAAGAAATGAGCAACTGAATCGGTGCACTCGACTTCCTTTTATAGGGGGCTGAAGCCCGATTTACGCGGGGCGTAAATTTCATTACGCAGGGCGTAACGACGATAAGGTCGCTGACTCCCCCCATGGATAATATCGGCCAATTTTTATTTAAATTAAATATCGAAATTATTAAATAAACTTTAAAAATTCATATCTTCCTCATACGAATCCGTTTTCGACGTTATTTATATCCACGCGTAGGTGAGACTACGATCTACAAATTTCGTTAGACTCTATCGGCTAATTTTGACTTTATTTTTATTATTTATTTTAGTAGGGGACAGGAAAACTCATTATAAAATCATAACTTCTTCATCCGACGTCCGTTTTCGCCTGCCTTTTTATCGTTTTACTACAATTAATGAGATCTTCAATTCTCATTTAGATTGTTTCGGCTAAAAACCGCTCGGTCTCAAATCGAGCATTCGGGCTGCATACTGCTAAGTCGAAACTTCGAAAAATCATAACTTCCTCATACGAAGTCAGATTTGGGCGTTCTTTTTATGCACGCTCATGGTTTAACGTATTATACGACTTTCATTTAGATTGCTAAGGCTAAATATCGCTCTAACGTAAATTCACTTTTTACGTCGCGCTGTGTCGTGCCGGTTCTGTCGCAAAACTTCGACAGGTCATAACTTCTTCGTTATAACTCGGATTTCAGCGTTCTTTATATGTACGAAAACCTTGTAACATATAATATAACTTAGTTAAGATTATTCATTCTAAATAATCTTTCATCAAAAATTCATTTTTGACGCCTATCGTCTCTAAATTGACTAGCCCGAATCTACGGGTGTTACAGTGCCCACTAATGATACGCTCACCCATTGACTTTGCCCTAGCAACCTTTTGCAATGACATTCCTACCTCCAGTTTCTTGCACAACTCTTCGTGTAAAGCTTTCACTGGAATTTTAGTGTTACTTTGTATTTGTTGAACAATTAAGTTTGCTACGTATCTGGAAGTGCAAGCTTTAACCGCCCTTGTTTGCAAACATTTATGCTCATCCTGTACTATTTTCACCAACCAATCCTGATTTTCATTAGCCCTCGATATTTGGACTGCCCATGGACATGTACCTTTATTGGCAATTACATCTTTACCCTTGCACTTTGCCCTACTTCTAGTTGAGGGCCCACCACCATCAACTCCTGTAGAAGGCTTACTTACAGCACCTTTACATTTCACCCTAATCCGGATTTTGTCATTTTTGGCTAGGTATAAAGTCCTCCTTGTTGCTACAGCATGTGAGCTCATGTAGTTTTTAACATCAAGCTTGGTTTTGAAGACCTGACCAATCTGAAATGGTTTAACATGAACCTCTCCATGTGAGCATATACTTGACTTACTCAACTCTTTTAGCAATCTCTTCCTATCATCTTCATGAAATCCTGCAAATTGATAATCATTAGTGGCAATAACTTCCAACTCATCATCAACCATGTCAATCCCTTCATCTTTTGAATGATTGTTCAAGATTCCATGTTCATCTACATCAACAACATTATGGAATTCACTCATGTCTACATCTACATCAAATTGTATGTTAGACTCATCCACATTGTATTCACTGTCATTAGAATCATCTCCACTATCCTCAGAACCATGGCCACTCTCAGAGTAGAAAGCTTCTCCACTATCATCACTCACCATACCCTCTAGATAATCCACTTCTGGTTGTTTTTCAAATGAAGTTTCAACATTAAACTGAGCATCATAATCAACATAAAGTGAGTAATCCTCTATAAATGGTTCATAATCATCAATTGTTGTAGTATTAGCTCCATCATCTGCTTCGCAACTTGGTTCCTGTACATGGTAAGTTCCCAATGCTTCTTCAGTTTCAACTGCACTAGTGATCACTTCTTCTTGAGTTTCAATTTCATGATTCACCACTTCCTTTTGAATGACATGACTTTGTTTACCTTGTGACCTTATAAATGGTATAATACTCTTTGAGTAATCATGGCCTTCATCAACATCTAACACTTGTGACTGCTCATAATCAGGGTTCATAGACTTGTTTAGATCAAGCTTTCTACTACATGATCCTGCTTCTCTCCTACAAGGTTTCTTTCTATTCATTTCAGGTGACACACTATCAGGCTCCAACTCTTCAATAACAACTTTAGAAAGAGACTTGTAATAAGTAGCTACCCTTGCCTGACCAGTTTCAATATACACCCTAATAAGTCTGTGTTTAGGGACATATGATATCATTTTAAGTACATCTTGATCATTACCTAAAGGCATTAAGCCATAGTCCAAAGGGTATTCAGGGATACGGAAATGGTAGTAAAGGGTTTGCTCAGTTTTGTACCCTAGTTCTCGAACCATGTCGTCAAGCTCATGAACTGAAAATAAATCAGTATCAACATCATCTACATATTCTACAACACCATCAACGTATTTCCTTCCAGGTGCTTTGGTGAAGACACCACTGTAGTGTATCTTCAATGTGAAATAGTTGTCATAACCTTCTATAAACACAAAAAAAAAAGAGTAAAATCAATGATTTCCTTACGTCAACACAATAGACCAAGAAAAAACAAGTTTTGTTGTAGTATTGTACCGTATCTTTTTCCTAAGTCCTCCACGGTTACAAATTTTTCTCGAAAACACCATATTGATAGCACCATTGCAATTTCTGCAGCTGAAAACCCTAAATCCCAATTTCTGTTCTTGCTTCTACGATGGGAATGAACCCGATGACTAAACCTGTAACTGGTTATCTTCTTGGAGAGAGACGGGTAGTGATGTGCAAGCAACAGGTAATCATTTCATATTAAAGAGAGAAGGTTACAACTAAAATGATGAAATTACCCCTGCAATATTTTATTAAAAAATGAGTTAACAGTGAAATGCTAACGGAGTGAGCCGGAAGGATCATTTGTTAAAAGTTTTGAAATCACAGGGACCATCTGTGAGGTTTTTTGAACTTGGGGACTAAACTTGATATTTTTGGAAACCATATGGATCATTTTTGAAGTTTTGTCTTTTAAAAATTATAAAAATGGAAAATTTGCAAAATGGTAGGATTTAATGGCAAATTTGTAAATTTTGCCATAGCAGCTCCAATATTTGTAATTGTTTTAATCTTGAAAGATGATTTGATTTTCTCTCGTTAGCGTTTAGAAGGTGTGATCAAATCAAGAAAAAAAAATGTATATAATATTAACAATGGCTTTGCACTTGGATGACATTGTCATGGTTGAGTAGATTTTTAGAAGCACAATGTCATAATATAATAATTGAAGGAAATAAATTTCAAATTGGACCAATCTTGCCAAATTTTGG